GGGTGTTGCGCACTGTCAGGCGGTGCGTGTTGCTGTGCGGCCTGCTGTACGTGTTGCTGCTTATGACTACGCCGCAGTGTGCTGCCGAGTGGTCTGTCCATAACATCACACCCCTCCTGGACTACGAGCTTACCCTCAAGCTCGAATTGGGTGCCGAAAACACCGTCAAAGGAATCCTGGATAGGTAGAATGGCTTTGCCCTCCTGGATCGGGTTCCCATGGAGGGGTTCATCCTCATCTTCTTCTTGTTTCACCAGGAGGCAGAAAAGTCTCTTGCACTTGTGCCCTGCTGAGTAGAGTTCATCGCAATTAAAACATTGCCCCCTCGCCCTGCGTTCTGCCATCTCAGCCCTGGACAAGTGCTTAATAGGGGGTGTGCCGATGTTGCTCTCCACACTGGATGCTGATCTGGAATTGGTTTTTGTCTCTAGCTTCCGTTCTGGGCTGGCTGCTAGATATGGAGCCATTCTGAGTGGTTCCCTGTTGGCTGCCAGTGAAGGCTTGGGCTAAATTCCGAGTGGTTCCCTGTTGTCCAAGCCGCTGCTGGGTATCCCATGCTGGACGGCCCTCCGCTAAACTGCAGTTTGCGCTCAAAGGCTTGGGCTAAATTCATTGCCGTGATCAGGTTAGGTGGGCTCTACATCTCTACATCAACTCTCAGGGGTTTGGCTAGACCAGCTGTGAACATATCCACCTGCTGGTCTAGGCGTAATGAAGAGGCCCTGACGAGAAGGGTCTGGAACTGCCGCTGATACTCTGCTACGGTACCGGTCTGCTTGAGGTTAATGAGTTCCCCCAAGGAGTTGTTTGTTAATGGGGGTCCGAACCGAAGGAGGCAGTATGACTTGAATTGATCCCTACTAAGACCTGGTTCCTCCTGCTCCACTCGGTAGAACCAGAGCTGCGCTTCTTCGGTCAGGTGGAACGCGGTCAAGCTGACCTTGTCCTTCTCCTCCGTGCGCTAATTACGGAAGAATTGCTCACAGCGGTACAACCATCCCAGTGGGTCGCCCCTGCCGCTGTATGAGGGAAACTCCAAACGGCTATACTTGGGAATAACTGCGGCTGTCGGGGCAGCGATCTGCTGTTCGCTGGATGCCTCTGCCCAGTTTGGACGATGACTATTTGTATTG